GTGGTATATAAGACTAGGTGCTATTGTTATTATATATACTAGCTATTACAAGTAAGAGGACATAGATATTCATGTCTTATGAATTTCCTAGTTGTACATTTTCTCCACGCAAACTAGTTAAATTAATAACCTTCACATCTATTTCCAATTCTGATTTTATCATTCTCTAAGAACATACTTTTCTGCTGTTTAATTTCTTCATCTTTTCTTCAGGCAGCAGAGCATTTTAATTTATCATGCATGCTCTTGATGCAAAAATTTCTCCGACATCACCTTTCCTAGTCAGACATCTTCCAAGGAGGTTGATTTACAGCTTAATTTAGTCAGCAACAAGTAGAATTGTAAAGATTAGTTGGCTCATAATATATATTTTATTCTGATAAAAGTCCCCAAGGCCTCCTGTATTGTTAAAGTATGCCCTTAATTTTTTTTTAAAAAAGAAATTCTATTTCACCAGATAAATTGCCAAGCAAACATTTCAGAATAGATATAACAAATCTATTTCCCAAATACTTACATCTTCTGGTAGAAAATGTGTTTATTTTAATGTTTCAGAGGCATAACAACTTTGAATTTCAGAGATTTATTTGGAACCTTTCTTACCCAGTATGTTTTTTAAGAATGGTCTTCAATTGTTTGCACATGAGCACATAAAAAATGCAATATATGAACATACCACCTATACGTTTCTCAGATTTCTGGAATTCATGAGGGCTCCCTGAAACAAATGCTTATGTGTTAGATAGATAGAGAGATAATTCTGGTGTGTGTGTGTGTATATGTGTGTAAAGTGTTTTTCTATCAAAGCACCTGGTCTACCCCAATATGGAGGGAGCATACTGCTTCCCTTTCACCTTTCAGCTCCAATCCAGGAGCCCGCAAGCAGGGTTTATGTGTGTTTTTCTTCTAGCCAGGTTTTCCCTACGTAACCAAGGTTTTTCTGTGGCTCCAGCTCAGTAGAATCAGAATAGAGTAGATGTGATTCTACTGAGCTGGAGCCGCAGAAAAACCTTGGTTACGTAGGGAAAACCTGGCTAGAAGAAAAACACACACACACACACACACACACACACACACACACACATATATGTCTGTATAATTCTGATATAGGAAAAAGGTGAAGCCAAAATATGTAAATGTTTGGGAAATAAAAAGGCACATTTGGAACATCTGGTTTCTTACTTTTTTTTTTTAATTCCAGAGGAAAAAAGACAAATATTGGGGGAAAAAACATGGAACATTTTTTAAATCTTAAAACTTAAGGGATATCCAAGGAGTTGAGGAAATTCATTTCAAATTGGCTACTAATCTTCCCATCCTCATCAGAAGGATGTCTGTACTTTTCATTCACCAACCGGCTAATTTGTAAGCAAAGTTTGACTAGGATTCATGTTTATGAAGATTTTATCTGGCTGCTCCTGACATATCTTTAATTGACTCAAGTGGGGGCAGAAGCTAGATTCATCACAGGATACTTAAAAACTTTTTGCCTGCCCTTTTGTAGACTTACTACAAAGCATTTTAAAAATCTGAATTAGCATTAGAATGTTAAAAGGCCTGATAAATTATGCATTGAATGTGAAGATGAATATGGGTCCTGTGAGGGCACAGATGGCCTGAGACCAGATAGGTCCATTATAAGAGCAATGCACGGATATCAACCACCTCTCAAACAGAGAGATGATCAATTCTTAGACTATTAGGACATACTGGTATGAAAAGGAAATGGAAGTTTTGTTCCTGGGAAGAGATGAGAGAAAGAGAAGGCTGGCTAACTCCACGTGTGCGTGTGTTTATACATGTGTGCTTCTAATTGGCAGTTGCTGCTTTTCTGCTGTAGTAACAACTTATCTAATATGTAGAATATACAATAAACCTAATTTATCAGAAAGCAGGGTTCCTGCATCTCTGCTTCATAGACTTCATGGTCAAGTAATAGCTGGTGTGAAGCCAGTCATGGATCTTCACTAAGTCACACCAGGTGGCAGCATCTAGCTGATCTTTGCTGATCTTGCAGGTTAAGCAGGGATGTTGTTGACCTGTTTAAAAAAATAAACATAAGGAAAAAAGAAACCCAAAATAAGTGATGGCAAACCAGCTCATAATGGCTAGAAAATTGCACGAATGCAATATCCAGGAATTAAGTTCAACAAGAATGTCTTTACCTTACCATTTTTATTTTATTTTATTTATTTATTTATTTATTTATTTATTTATTTATTTATTTATTTATTTATTTGTCGAGTACATATTAGATAATATATATAAGCATGAATTGAATACATAAAATGAATACAATTAAAGGGAACATTAGGACAGGGACGGTAGGCAAGCTGGTGCTCTTAGGTATGCCCCTTACAGACGTGAATGGGGTGAAGTCAGTGGTGGGTTGCCCCTGATTTGGACCGGTTCTATAGAACCGGTAGTAAAACTGGAGGGAGGCTCCACCCACCCACCCCGATGTCATCAAAACGCTTCTGCATATGTGTAGAAGAGAGCACGCATGAGCGAAGCAAGCACACACGTGGATCCCCATTGCGAACCGGTAGTAAAGGTAAGTAGAACCCACCCCTGGGTGAGATCAACAGTAGACAGTCTAAGGTTAAAATTTTGGGGGGATGAAACCACAGAGTCAGGTAGTGCATTCCAGGCATTGACTGCTCTGTTGCTGAAGTCATTTTTTCTGCAATTGAGTTTGGAGCGGTTCACTTTAAGTTTGTATCTATTGGGTGGTCGTGTATTGTTGTGGTTGAAGCTGAAGTAATCATTGACAGGTAGGACATTGTAGCAGATGATTTTATGAGCTATGCCAAGATTTCTGGAAGGGGGTTGAGCTCTGAAGGAAAAACCATTTGGACCTACCAAGTCTTCAAGGTGTTGGTTACCACCTTTAAAGCGCTCCATGGCATAGGACCCGGGTACCTTCGAGACCGTCTTCTGCCACCAATAGCCTCCCACCGACCAGTCCGCTCCCACAGAGAGGGTCTCCTCAGGGTGCCATCAGCCAAGTTATGTCGGCTGGCGACACCCACGGGGAGGGCCTTCTCTGTCGGAGGCCCAGCCCTGTGGAATGAACTGCCCCCGGAAATACGCAAGATCTCCGACCTCCGGGTGTTTCGTTGCGCATTGAAGACCCTGTTGTTCCGCCAGGCCGGGCTATCGACATGATAATTTTAAATTGGGGTATTTTAAATTTTTGGGGTTTTAAATCGGCCAAATCTATTTAATTATTTTAATTTTTAATTATTGTGTCTTGTGTTTTTAAATTGGCTGTACACCGCCCTGAGTCCTTCGGGAGAAGGGCGGTATAGAAATAAAATTATTATTATTATTATTATTATTATTATTATTATTATTATTATTATTCATTTCATTAGAGAATAAACATGGGGGCGGGGGGAGAATAGAGCCATGAATTTACCTTGTGTCACAGGTCACGTTGACCAACCAAGCCTGTCATGAACTTTTCAGCACTCCCTCCTGCCATTGCTAGGACACATTAATCTGGCCTTGGTTCTGAGGAGCCTTATCATTGTTATGTCTCGGACATTGGAGGAAAACATTCTACATTCCATAACCCCCCCCCCCTTTCCCCCATAAGTACGGCAACTAAGAAATGAAGCAAGGGAAATATGGCTTCAGCTAGAATCATTTCGAGAATTGACAACCTGTTTCATTAGAGCATTATTTAATTTATTTCACAAACTGGGAAGATGGGTTAATTCAGTCATCAAATTAAAGATGTTGTTCATTTAGAGTCTTTACTGTATATTAACCAAGAAAGATATAATTGGGGAGTTCTTATTCAGGAAACAAATCTGCCCATTCAAAGAAAAAAGGAATAACAACTGGAATAACAACTGAAGTATTTTATTCAAGAAGGTGACATCAAGTTCTCCACTAGTCTTGAACTTTATTATGGCTAAATATATTTTCAAAGTCTGATAAAAAGCAATAATAACCATATTGTTTATGAGAAAAGAATCCAGAGCTGACATATACCATTAGGTCACCAAAAGTGGTACAAAATCATTGCCTTTCAAGCAGGGAGTAATTTTTTAGGATAGCATCCACCTACCTTTTAAATTTCATGTTGTTTACGAAAATCCAGCCCGCCTACATCAGTAACTAATTTTCTAAAATGTTTTCTTGATTTTAGCTCCTTGACTATAGTACTGTATGCTTGGGAAAATAACTGGCTGTTTTTTTTCTGAGTGCTGTAATACTGTTTTTAATTCAGAGCAAAATGTGCTTTAAATGCACATTTTAAAATAAAGTGCTTTTAGAAATATGTGCAAAATGCTTTTAGAAATATAATATTGCATTTACATATTTTGATAGAATTATGTATAAGTCAGCTAATATGGAAAGTGAAATACACACACATCTGCATAAACACATTTATAGGTATAGCCATACCTTTCCCCCCTACATCTCAACCTAAATGTATATCTGCATACAAGGTATTACAAAGTGTACAAGGCTTCTTACAGAAATCTACCTATGAATATGGAAATGAATGGGATGGATTTATGAAGGAACTCATCCAGGGGTAAAATCCAGCAGGTTCTGGAGAACCGGTAGCGGAAATTTTGAGTAGTTTGGAGAACCGGCAAATACCACCTGTGGCTGGCCCCAGAGTGGACTGGGAATGGAGATTTTGCAATATCCTTCCTCCAGGACTGGGGAGGAAATGGGGATTTTGCAGTATCCTTCCCCTGGAGTGGGGTGAGAATGGAGATTTTGCAGTATCCTTCCCCTGCCATGCCCACCAAGCCACGCCTACCAAGCCACACCATGTCCACCAAGCCACGCCCACAGAACCGGTAGTAAAAAAATTTGGATTTCACCACTGAACTCATCTAAAAGTTAAAAATATCCTAATGCATCCAATATTAAATGAACCAGCAATAGTTGAGCGACCACAACTGACTCAGCTCAAGGTAAGAACGGTTGCTTTGGCAGAACTTAGTTCTAATGTCATCTCTGTCCTATTTCAGTTTTGTACAGCTCATCTTTAGATGCATTCTTGTCTGTTACCACCAGTAGCACAAAGACATTGGCGCTAGCCTGGAGGGAAAAATTAAGTCCTTGCCTAACAATGACAGCTTTCCATATTGACCAAGGAGTCAATGCCTTTGATTTTCATTCCAGACTTAACTTAATTGGTATGTATATTCCTCCTGATTTCTCCATTATTATAAAATGTAATGGGTCAATTAAAAGAATAGAAAAGGCTGAAATATAAAAATTCTGAACATGACAGTAGATAGAAAAGTCCAGATATATTCTGGTTGGGATCTGCGCTGGCATGAGCATGTTGGGTCCCATTGATCTTGACCTTGGTTGCCTTGGGCTTTTCCTTTAAAAAAGAAGATTTCATAGGGAAAGATTGGTCAATTGAGTATGTACATAAAGACCGGCACTTAGAAAAAAAAGATCTGCATTTTTTTTTCTCTGATAGCTACCATTCTGTTTGATGAATGAAAATTTGCTATTGAAACTTATATCAAAGGTGAAAAAAATTCCAGAGAAATTTTCTTGGGTGGAATCTGAGGTTCAAGGACTCCCATCTTGGTTAATTGAATTTTAAATGTACGGTTTTTATTTGTTGTTTGACACTTTATATCATATTTTAATCATATGAATGTAAGCCGCCTAGAGTTCCTTGGCGAGATCAGTGGCATAGAAGATATAGATAGATATTTTATTTTATTTTATTTTATTTTATTTTATTTTATTTTATTTTATTATTTTATTTTATTTTATTTTATTATTTTATTTTATTTTATTTTATTTTATTTATTTGTCAAGCATGTATTAGATAACAGATATAGGTATAAACATGGTTATTAATACATGAAATGGATACGAATAAAAGGGGATACAAATATTAGGACAGGGACGGTAGGCATGTTGGTGCTCTTATGCATGCCCTTTACAGACCTCTTAGGAATGGGGTGAGGTCAACAGTAGACAGTCTAAGGTTAAAGTTTTTGGGGTTTGGGGAAGAAACCACCGAGTCAGGTAATGCATTCCAGGCATTGACTACTCTGTTGCTGAAGTTGTACTTTCTGCAATCGAGTTTGGAGCGGTTTACCTTAAGTTTGTTTCTATTGTGTGCTCATGTATTGTTGTGGTTGAAGCTGAAGTAGTCATTGACAGGTAGGACATTGTAGCAGATAATTTTATGTACTGTGCTTAGGTCAGACTGAAGTTGGCGTAGTTCTAAGTTGTCTAAGCCGAAAATTTCAAGCCTGGTGGCATAAGGTATTCTGTTGCGAGCTGAGGAGTGGAGGACTCTTCTCGTGAAATATCTCTGGACTCGCTCAATTGTATTAATGTCTGATATGCAGTGCGGGTTCCAGACAGATGAGATAGATAGATAGATAGATAGATAGATAGATAGATAGATAGATAGATGAGAGAGTAAGAGAGAGGAAGGAAGGAAGGAAGGAAGGAAGGAAGGAAGGAAGGAAGGAAGGAAGGAAGGAAGCAAGCAAGCAAGCAAGCAAGCAAGCAAGCAATGAGATGGCTAGAGATAGACAGTCTTTCACGTTGCAGCTATGTCTCCAATGCTCTGCTTTCTTCCTGGCTGTCCTTGCTTTAGTTAAATCCCATGGAAGACATTTTTGGGAATCTCTTCCCATTGGACTGTTTCAAGTTAGAAGCAACTTTCAGCTATCCAGTTAGCTCAAAACACCAGCCAAGAAATTCTGAACCATTATGAGTTTATAATCTCTCAAGAATAATATATTTTGCTAGTGGTGTCCACAGAAGGAATCAAAATCTGCAAGATGGTCATGATTTAAGGCCCAATTATTCTGCATGTACTTCAATATTACATGCATGTACAAAATCAAGAGCTTGGATTGTGATACTGCAAAATCTTGAAGCTTTTGGCTATCGCTACCTCCTTTGAGGATGTCTCTGCTGCTAGGAAGAAAATCTCTATAACGCTACAAATCAAGTGTTGGCACAGCGCTAATGCCAGATATTAATTATATTTTAAAAACTATTTTAAAACCATTTAAAATGTACTATTCATTTCCACAACAAAAGTGTGCTCCTTCCCAAGTATGACAGAGCTATCTAAAATTCTTTTGCCTCCCTGAAATCTCTAGCTCTACTAATGGTGGCAATAGTACTTGTGTTTATCATATATGGAAAGCGGTGTAAAATCAATCACTCACTTCCTGGGTTTGGATTCCAATCAGAAAAGTTCAATAAATCTCTGTGAAGTTGTAAAACATGACGTTTACTAAGCAGTGCTTGCTTCTTAGAGTTATATATCTCTGGCCTTTTTTATGACAAATGCAAAAAAAAAAAAAAATCCTAGATAAATATATTCAAGATAAGTTCGCTGAAGAACTTTGCAAACCAAATTTCTGTGAGAGCTTTGGAGCTTTGGGAATTCTGTTGTAGGAAGTTAGCACCCATCCCTCTCCTAGAAGAATGAAATAGTCTAGGAAATATTAAAAAGGCAGAATATTATACCTCCATGGATGAGAAATGGAGAAACATGCTTTTTTTTAGGCAGGAAGCAGACTCACTCTTAATAGCCCCCCCCTCCTCAATAGCGCACAGCAGATATCAACACTTAAGAGATAAAGAGATGGCTAGGTTTATTCATAAGAAAATACCCTGGCCCAAGATCCAACAAAGGTAGAATTAGCTGTCAGCCATTATAGGAATTGCCCCAAACCCTCTTCATTACATCACTCAGCAAGATTCAACCAAGCCTGGGACTTAAGACAACCTACAAAGTTAGCCCTGCATGGCTCCATGGGAGTCTGACAACCAATTAGAGTACATTTCTTACACAGGAACAGGAAGCTCCAAGGCAGGGATCAAGAGAGGGTATAAATCTCTCTCTCTCTCTCTCTCTCTCACCCATGTGCTTGATTTCCCAGGAAATCAAACCATGTGGTCCTGTCCACCATTAAACCATCTTTCCAAACAGCTTCCATGTTTCCAGTGTCTTTCTCCCCACTTGGAACTGAACCCGGATGGACATTTCTTCCAACAATTTCTTCCTAATCTCTTCATAAAGATGGCTGCACTTCCTGTAAAAATAATATACTGTATCAAGCCTATAAGGCTTCTTCTACAGATGTCCCACTACCGCTTCTGTGATCCATAGATGCTAGGCTGTAGCTTTTCTGTTTTTGCCTCATTACTCAGATTTTTTTTTTTAAAAAAAGGAATATACTGAAAAGCTCATTTGCAGAGGGAAGACATTTTAAGCTTGACACTTAAAAAAAAAAATCATACAGAATTCAACTCTGGATGCAGAGCTGTGCTGGTAGAGAAAGAGAAAGAAAAGGAGCTTGACATGAAGTGGATTGAGGTGAAAACCAATGAAGAAAATACCACAAAGAAGTAGCAAAGAGGCTGGGCAGGGTGAACAAGAGGCAAACTAGAATAAAGCATGTTCTGATCATGTTATAACTGACAGAAAAGCTAGACGGAAACAAACCCTGAAATACTAGAATAATCCAATTGTAGAATAGAGTTCAGACAGGTCTGAAAAGAAATGTGCAAGATAGCGATATTGTAGACACCCTTTCTGCTAGTTGAAATATTTCCTCTTCATCAAACTTATTAAAGTCACAAAGGTAGATATATCCTGTATTATTTCATGTTTGAACTGGTTTAATGAGTGTAAGTATTTCAAATGGCAGTCTGTCATGAATGGGAGGAAAATTGGCTAGAGGAACCAAACGTTTTCTTGGAAAAGCTGCAGTTCCCTAGCAGATTAAAAAAAATAATCGTTGAACCAGTTTAATTTGGTGGTATAGTGTAGTTATTCTCTAACAGGAAGAAAAATATTTGGCAAGTATTTCCCAGTTGCCAGATTACTTGTTCTGGAGGTTTGCCAGTGGCATATGGATGGATAATTCAAGGTTGATTTATTTTCTAAAAATCTGGTCATAAATTTTATTGCCATAGATTAGCATCTTATTAAGGTGATGTATGCCAAGGGACCACTGTGCGTGTACTGGTCAATAGTCCTTTCTCTGTTTAGAGATTGCTTCTACTGCCAGATTCATTCTGAAGGAAGGAAGGGGATCCTGATATCCTTCATAGAGAGAAAGGTGTTTTCTTTCTGTTATAAGAGAATAGAAAAGGTGGCACTAAAAAAAGTGAGGGTTTTGTGAGGTGTGGCAGATTCTTGCTTGAGAACCTGTGGGCTAGATCAGGGGTGTCAAACCCGCATCGTCACGGCAGCATCATGTGACATATCATGACTTTTCCCCCCTTTGCTAAACTGGGCATGGGCGTGGCCAGTGCATGATGCATCTGGCCCACGGGCCATGAGTTTGAGGTAGATGGAAAGACTAGGTGGGCCTTATAAAGCCAATTGCCTAAAGGATGCTCATGAGGTTTTGGGAAGGGGTGTCTGTGTGTATGTGTGTGTGTGAGAGAGAGAGAGTGTGGGGGGGAGGGAGGGAGGGAGGGAGAAAGAGAATTTGACTCTGGGCTAGCAGGTGAATAGAATAGAATAGAATAGAATAGAATAGAATAGAATAGAATAGAATAGAATAGAATAGAATAGAATAGAATAGAATAGAATAATCAGACATAAATACAATCGAGAGAGTCCAGAGATATTTTACGAGAAGAGTCCTCCATTCCTCTACCCACAATAAAATACCTTATGCCACCAGACTCCAAATTTTGGGCTTAGACAACTTAGAACTATGCCGATTTCAGTCTGACCTAAGCATAGTACATAAAATTATCTGCCACAATGTCCTTCCTGTCAATGACTACTTCAGCTTCAACCACAACAATGCATGAGCAAAAAATAGATACAAACACAAGGTAAACCATTCCAAACTCGATTGCAGAAAATATGACTTCAGTAACAGGGTGGTCAATGCCTGGAATGCACTACCTGACTCTGTAGTTTCTTCCCCAAACCCCCAAAACTTTAACCTTAAACTGTCTACTGTTGACCTCACCCCATTCCTAAGAGGTCTGTAAGGGGTGTGCATAAGTACCGTCCCTGTCCTAATATTCCTTTTTACTTATTCTTTTCATGTATTCAAATTATGTTTATACTATTACCTGTTATATATGCTTGACAAATAAACTTATGATTATGAAGAATAGAATAGAATGGAATGGAATGGAATGGAATGGAATAGAATAGAATAGAATAGAATAGAATAGAATAGAATAGAATAGAACAGAACACTTTATTGGCCAAGTGTGATAGGACACACAAGGAATTTGTCTTTGTGCATATGCTCTCGGTGTACATAAAAGGACAGGATACATTTGTCAAGAATCATAAGGTATAACACTTAATGATAGTCATAGTCAATATTAATGTTATACAAAGGAAATAATTGGAAAGAAAGCAGAAAAGAGATAAAAGGCAGTTTTTCCCAACTTGGTACCCCTGAGATTGGGGAAATTATTAGAATCAGAATGTGTCTATCTTCTTACCAATATGCCAAAGGCATAAACTGTCAAACTGAACAGAGCTGAATCATATAATCAATTAGGAGGAAAAAAAGACATGGCAAGCATTACAAAGCGTTAGATCACTAAATCTATTCAGCGGGATCAATTCAAAATTTGAATCAATGTGACAATTCAGGTAAGAAAGTCAATTTAATTTTGGAGATTTGATCAAATTGCAATTCACTTGAATCTCTGGATCAGATATTTGTACCCTGATAATACTCATTAGTTACACCTTGGAACCGTTTTGTAAAACCCGTATTTCAACTTTATGACTCTGAACAGCAACTGCAGGAATTAATTGCTCCGTCTGCCTTTGGAATCCTTATGTCACATCAAAACCTGCTGGAATCCTGACAGGTCATTCAGACAGCGTAATAGCTGTCCAGTTCATTACTGAGCGCAAACTGCTCTTCAGCTTTGCCAAGGATAAGGTGAGTGTTGAAAGAGTCTGTCAAACATAGCTCATTATACTATACAAGTCTCCGGTATAAAAATCTAAACTCACTGTGCCATTTAGTAACATTAATACTAGATTTATTTAGAAGTCTCCCTTAAACTATTTTTATAGAATAGAATAGAATAGAATAGAATAGAATAGAATAGAATAGAATAGAATAGAATAGAATAGAATAGAATAGAATAGAATTTTATTGGCCAAGTATGATTGGACACACAAGGAATTTGTCTTGGTGCATGTGCTCTCAGTGTACATAAAAGAAAAGATACGTTTGTCAAGAATCATAAGGTACAACATTTAATGATAGTCATAGGGAACAAATAAGCAATCAAATCATATTAGGAAACAATTAATATAAATCGTAAGGATACAAGCAACAAAGTTACAGTCATACAGCCATAAGTGGGAGGAGATGGGTGATAGAAACGATGAGAAGAATAATAGTAATAGTAATGCAACCTTAGTGAATAGTTTGACAGTGTTGAGGGAATTATTTGTTTAGCAGAGTGATGGCGTTTGGGAAAAAGCTGTCCTTGTGTCTAGTTGTTCTGGTGTGCAGTGCTCTATAGCGTCGTTTTAAGGGTAGGAGTTGAAATAGTTTCTGTCCAGGATGTGAGGGGTCTGTAAATATTTTCACAGCCTTCTTTTTGACTTGTGCAGTATACAGGTCCTCAATGGAAGGCAGGTTGGTAGCAATTGTTTTTTCTGCAGTTCTAATTATCCTCTGAAGTCTGTGTCTGTCTTGTTGCAGAACCAAACCAGACAGTTATAGAGGTGCAGATGACATAATTCCTCTGTAGAACCCTTATCAGTAGCTCCTTGGTTAATTTCTACATATATATTGAACTTCATTTGCCCTAATTCTTCCTTCTCTTCTTCATAGTACAGTCCACACCAATGTCTGAGTCAAGCTAACCTTAGCTGAACTAAAAAAAAAAAAACTAAGCAGAAGTAGAAAAGGTTATTCCTTGGATAAGAGGCTACCAGGAAGTCCAGAGCTTAGGTTACACCAGGGGTGTCAAACTCACGGGGTCATGTTGTTGTCACATGATGTATCATGACTTTTTCCCCCTTCACTAAACTGGGGGTGGGCATGGCCAGCGCACGACACATCTGGCCTGTGGGCCGCGAGTTTGACACCCCTGGGTTACACTATGAAGTTTTTTTAAAAAATATTTCAGTAGAAGACAATAGCAGACTACATCCAGGAAAGCATCATTAATGTATCCAGGAAATCTCTAGGAGTAAAGAAGATTAGCTGCCCTACTCAACTCAGAGATTCATAACTTCACAAATAGTTGCATCCATGTCTCTCCTAGTTTGGCTAAGGCCTCCCAGGAGATGACATGTGGTTATATTTTGGTGGTAGGGAATTCATCATCGAGAGAGGAGTGGTTTGAAAAAGAGGTAATCTGTTTCATCTAGCTCTAACTCAGGGGTCAGCAACCTGCAGCTCTGGAGCTGCATGTGGCTCTTTCACCCCTCTGCTGCGGCTCCCTGTCACTCCAAATATGTGTCACAATCGCCAATGTGCGATACCCACCAGGATGCTATTTATTGAGCTTTTCAACCTCTAGTAGGCCAACCATGGATAAATCCAAGAAAAGAAAAGTTTCAGAAGAAAACAGAATGTTTACTTCAACCACATATGCTAGTTTTGTGGCCATTCAAGAAATAGTCAGGCACGGGAAGGGTTTTGTGGCTCCTGGTGTTTTCTTTTCTGTGGAAAATGGGTCCAAATGACTCTTTGAATGTTTAAGGTTGCAGACCCCTCCTCTAACTATTCAATGCAATTTTCATCCGCTTTCCAGCTTTCCCTTTGGGAGGAAGGTTTTGGAGAAGGAAATTGCATGGAAGCTCCAGTCTGGAATAAATGCATTATCTGGATACTTTTCAGTCAAGATTCAGATCCTGGTATGAGACCAAGATAGCATTGGTCACACTTCTAGATGACCTTAAGTGACCATCCTATAGTTCAGGAAGAGGTATCATCAGTGAGCTTATTATACCAGCTTTATGTCTACAACCTTGGCCATCCGAGTGATACTGTGAAGGATTTGACTAATTTGGAGAATGTGGAGGACCATATGGGGAATATCTGGCTTCATCTCAACCCTAACAAGATCAGTTTGAAGGTCCACTTGGACTCATTCCCAAAGAGCAGGTGGCAATAGTGGCTCGGTGGGTCTTTACATGGCTACATGTTATGCACCAGTTGAGCCCATTCTTATCCAAGAGGCCCTACTCATGGTCACTCAACCCTGATTGGAAGATTGAACTATTGCAATCTGCAGCACATGGGGTTTCCTTTGAAGTGTATCCAAAAGCTTCAGCTGATCCAAATGAAGCCAGAAGGGCAGTTATGGGCTTAATTCGTTCAGTGCATGGTTACCAGTGTGCTTCTGGGTTCAATTCAAGGTGCTGGTAGTGAGCCATTAAGCCCTTCATGACATGGGGTCAAGTTACTTGCAGGACTCTCTTCTCATTTGCATCTACCTATTCCAGTAGAATATAGAAAAATCACTCCTCTGTAGGTTGTCACAATCTCGAAAAAAGGAGACCTTTTTTCATGTGGGAAGATAGAGCCTTTTAGTTTTCCATATCTAAACTATGCCTGTCAGAGAAACCAGACACAAATATGGCAGCCAGGCTGAAATAGAAAACTACTTCCTTCTAACCGATTTCAAAGTTTCCTTCTTGGGGCATCTATTGGATTTCTAAATCACTTCTTTTGTTAAGTAAAGACTCTAGATTGGGTGTCTGCAACCCGTGGCTCTGGAGCCACATGCGGCTCTTTTGTCTCCCTGCTGTAGCTCCCTGTCTGCTGAACCCACCACTGGCTGGCTCCGCCTCTTGCCCTCCCCTTCCAGTCACTCCTCGCCTGGCCTGAGAAGGTAAGGGCGATGATGGGGGATGGAGACTCACTCCATATTCCAGAGTGGGAGCGAAGCACCCCTGTACTCACCATATCTCGCAGGTGCTTCTTCTGGCTCTTGTTGGTGCTGCGCGCTCCTCGGTTGCTCAGGGAGATGTGCGACTTGCTCTCCGCCCCGAGACACTGGTCCAGCCCAGCTGTGGCCGATGCACTGCATTGTAATGGGCTCCAGGAGGAGGAGGGGACATCGTCTCTGCCATTGTGAAGCATGCTAAATTTAACTGTGCTGTGCAAGGTGCTGTGAGATCAGTGGGCAGGCTATGGAGGTGGCAACAGCAGCAGTGTCAGCCACAGCCAGGCTCAGCCAGTGTCTCATGGCAGAGAGCAAGTTGTGGTTTCTCACAGAAAACACCAACAAAACCTGGATAAGCATGGCTTGGGGGGGGGTCATGTGACTGAGTGGGATGATGTCGAGTTGGCCATGCCCACCCAGGTTTTGTGGCTCCCAGTGATGTCTTTTCTGTGGGAAATGGTTCCAAATGGCTCTTTGAGTGTTTAAGGTTGCAGACCCCGGCCTAGATCAGTGTTTCTTAACCTTGGCAGCTTTCAAATGTATGGACTCCAACTCCCAGAATTTCCCACACATCTGAAAACTGCCAAGGTAAAAAAAACACAGCTCTTAATAAAAGTACCACATTTTCAGTAGGTCAAAGAAAAGGTATGTGCCCTTGAAAAGGTATCTCTGTATTGGGAAAAACATTTGTTAATTCAATGAGAGATAAATGCCATAGACACAAGCTAAAGTTGGAACTCTAATCTAATTTCTTCCATTAATAACATCTCTCAAGAAGACATGAGATTGGAACCTGGCTATAGAGAATACGGAATGTGCTCAGATTTAAAGATTGAAGAAAAAATATTAAGTTATTAAGTTTCAATAAGTATCTTAACAGTTGGCTAACGCTGTCTTCCCTTTGTTGTGCAGCCATTATTTTACAAGCAATCTTGTGTTACTTTTGGCATTAGCATAAATCTGTTTCACTTTGATGGATGAATGGGCATCAGCAATGGTAGCTATTTACATACAAAGCCTTCTGCTCTTCTTAAGCAATCTCTTATTGACTGCCAGGAATCCAAATTAAACATCACAATCCTGTGTAGGACAAATGGCAGAATAAAAGAAGATAAAAAGGCTTCCTTTCCATAAAGGCTTGATCTGACAGCCCAGAGAAGAAAATGACAATGATGAACAGCCTAACATTGGTTGTGCTTCCCATGGAATAAGAACAACTCCAAGACTTTTTTTTTTTTTTTTTTTTTAGAATCAGAGAGGTGGAAGAAACCACTTAGGAGTCTTCAATATTCAAATTCCCTTTTTTTCTGCTAGCAATGCATAGGTTATTCTGGAGACCTCCAAATATCATTGGGCCAAAAAGAAGAATGACATGCATGGACAGGTTTTAATGATAGCTGGTTGGGTGATAATACCATCAATGACTGTTGGACTGTTGGAAAATAACTTCAGGGTAGAAATCCACATTGAAGTGTCCCTAGTAGATGGCTGGTTGTTCATTGAGTTGATAGGAAGTCTGTCCAGCCTCTTCTTGAACAGACATATTGAAGGGGAACTTCCTATCATTCAACCAGTCTTTTCTTTATTGTAACTTAATGTCATGCTCCCGTCGGAGTCGAAAGACGGAAGACAAACAGCTGACAGAGAGCAAGAGAGTGGTTCCATTGGCTGTGGAGGAAACTGGGGAAGGGCAAATTCAGGCTGGGCAGAGCAGGGTAGAGGTAGAACAAGGGAGAGGGTTCTGATAAGGTCCACCCCCTCCTCATCCTAGGTCACGCAGGAAAGAATGCAGAAGAGAGCAACATGGGTTGCGTGGCTTACGAGAAAGGAAAGGGCCCCAATTCCCTTCACAAGGCACACCTGGGGATGGAGTTTAAAGGAGAGGCAGTTGGGAGGGGCGTTTGTTGGGAACAAACATTGAATTAATCTGCTGCTGAGAGCTGTGGCCTGCATTCCTGGCATTCCCTCCTGACTGTGTGAATTACTGCCGTGCTACTGTGTGCCTAGCTTGTCTTGCTGGGATTATTCTTCCCATCTGGAACTCCTTATCTTGCCCTGCTGGAGTGATTGATTGCAGTCATCGTGTTTACAGCATTGGGACTGGATTATCTTCAGGTTTGTGGGAGAGCTTTTCTCCAGGCTGTAAAAGGGATGTTGGGGGCAGAGTTGGTGCCAATAAAGGGATTCATATCGGTTCTCTGGCTGTGTTGCCTTTATGCCACGCCCCGGGACATCACACTTAAGATCATAATTTTGCACCCTGTACTCTTGGACAATGGAGAACAAGTCTTGAACTTCTTTCTGAAACTTGAGGAATTATATCTTTATCAGTCTTTCTTCTTAAGACCAACCATGTTCTAAGTTTCCTTAAGCTATCTATCTATAGATAGATAGATAGATATAGATATCTATAGTATGCAATATTTTTGGCCCGAGAGTCCATTTTTTTACCTTTGTGTATTGCCAGGAAGTTAGTGATGTCATGAATCATCAAAGTATTTGGGTCGGACATTTTGGTCTGGCTTTTTGAGGAAAGGTTGAGAAGACTTTGGATTGGGTTTTTAATTTCTAATTCTAATTTATTTCTATTCCTCTCCTCCTTCCTCTATACAGATATTAAGGCTTTGGGACATTCAGCATCAACTTTGCATGCAAAGGATTGCCGGATCCTTCCCTAAAAGTGTGGACTTTCATTCCTCCCTTTATTTTCATGAATCACAAGGTCTCCTATTCATCTCAATGAACAACCAACTGATGGTCCTGGAAATGGAACACGAATTAGGAAAAAGGAGAGTGGCAAGTCACAAGAAAGCTGTGACTTGCCTCCTGTATAATTCAGTGCTCCAACAGGTAAAACATCAAGAAAAGGTTTCTTTTGGTAATTGTCTGAGAAGCTATTTGAAATTCATATTCACTGTTTTCTGGATGTTCTTTTCAGCAAGTAAAAATTGAAGCACAAGAGGCATTTATGAAGGGATTTCCTTTGTGCTGTGATGCAGTAATTGGCTTTCTGGCTTTCCTTTAAGACATGGGCATATTGCCTTCTCTAGAATTTTATTTCAGTAGTGGAGGTCACCCAATTTTCTATAGCTTAATTAACACTGTGTTGAAATCTGGCTTGCATTTTGTCAAAAGCTTTCTTCTCTTCTGCTTCTTTCTCAGCTTTTCTGCATTATTCTCAGGATGTACAAGAATTTCTTTTTAATTTCTGCTGATGGCATTTTTGAACTGACTTTATTCATGGAATAATAATACAGTGCCACTATTTTCTTTTATGTACTTGTTCTTCACTTGGAATTTCTGTGCCTGCCTCCACTTTTCCATCTGAAAAGGTTGTGTGCGAGGTTCTGTCACATTCTTTCTTGGGATATAATTGAGGTACGGGAAATCAGAAATGATGCAGATAGTTGAAAAGATGTTTCTCCAATGAAAGAGAGAATATTTATACATACTCTTGGCACCATATTATTAAAAAGTATGAGAACTGTACTTTTAGCCTATAAACAGGAAATTCTGTTTTCTTCCAACAGCAAAACCTTAATTATGGTTCCATTTAGTTTAATTCAGTTCAAATGTCTTCTATAGAGTCAAATAGAGCCTTACTCTTTCTTTTAACTTTAAATAAATAGATGATAGATGATAGATAGAAAGATAGATAGATAGATAGATAGATAGATAGATAGATAGATAGAAAGAAAGAAAGAAAGATAGATAGATAGATAGATAGATAGATAGATAGATAGATAGATAGATGGGTGGATGGAAGGATGGATGGATGGATGGATGGAGAGATAAATGAAATAGAAGGATGGATGGATAGATGGATAGATTATTATTAGAATGCAGTATTGCAGTATTGCTGACTAATTCTAGTCAGCAGGCTAATTCTGCTGACTTCCAGGGGTTTGATCCTCACCAGCTGAAGGTTGAGTCAGCCTTCCATCCTTCTGAGGTTGGTAAAATGAGGACCCAGGTTGTTGGGAGCAATACGCTGACTCTAAATCGCTTAGAGAGGGCTGTAAAGCACTGTGAAGTGGTATATAAGTCTAAGAGCTATTGCCATTGCTAAATCATGATGGTTGTTAAGTGAGTAACCACATGGCCATATGGGATTTTACCATTTTATTTCAACAGTCATTAAGTGAATACCATGACCTTTAGCAAACTCATTGTTTACTATGGAATATTTCTGGAAACAAATATCAATTTCCAACAAAATCTCCTAAACTGTGGTAACAGGACTGTAGGACATTGCAAACAGCCATAAATATGGGCCATTGCTGTGTTTCCAAAATGTCACATCGTGACATTTTGTCCGCACGTGGAAGCAGAACTTCAAATCTTGGTCATAAGTAGTTTTTGTTGAAGGGGGGTGTGTGGGGTGGAATCTGTCGTACCTTCAAACGGTTGCTAAATGACCAGTTGTAAGTTAAGGACTACCTATATTACATTGGTAGTTTTTTTCAGAATTTCGGTTAAATGTATGGGTTTGGATGTAATGTTGGGAAGAAGAGTCCGTGGGCAAAGATTTTGTACACTCCTGTATATATTTAATTCTCTGATCCATACCTATGAATACACTGTATGCATTTTTAAGAACAAGAAATGATACATCCTGCAATGAAATATACATAATTATCCTAATTGGAATACATTGCATGTTTGTGGTGATTACTCCAAAAACATTATTAGCCAGTAAAATGCAGAAGAAGATGAGCAAAATAATAAAAGGAACCAGGGAAACAAATATATAAAGGAAAGTTATAATGCTTGGACTCTATTTTTAAAAATGAATTAATAGAAGTTATGGATTAAAATGAGAGCCAGTCTAGGGTAGTCATTAAAGCATCAGGCCAAAAATTGAGAGAACTTGAGCAATGCTGTCATCTTAGGCACAAAGCCAGCTGGATGACCTTGGGCCAGTCATTCCCTCTCAGCCCTAGAAAGGAGGCAATAACACTTTTGAAATCTCACCAGCAAACTGCAGGCACTTGTCGAGTCAGTCACCAGGAGTTAACACTGACGCAAAAGCCAAATAAACAAATAAAGGAAATTTATATTATTGATGGTTTTAGAGAAACTCAACTGAGAACTTTTTTCTGTACCACCTAGTAAAGCATATCAGTGGAACATATCATTCATTGGCATCCTTCAGTCTCAAGAGAATATGGTATTGTGCTCTGGAAAGAGGTCCTAAAACAGCATCTAGTGTGACTAAAAAGGCCAATTCGAGAGTGGCAATCCCTTCCACACTGAGGGCAGATACCTTCTGTCACCTGCCCAGCCCCCAGATTTTGCTGGTTCCGGGACTGCCTCTTTGCCTTAGCCTGCCGAACAAGTGTCTTTTCCAATTGGAGAAGGCCATGCTGCGCCTTTAGCCTCCAAGCTGAACGATCGGAGGTCAAGATTTCCCAGTTGTTAATGTCCATTCCCAGGGCCTTTAGGTCCCTCTTGTAGATATCCTTATATCACAGCTGTGGTCTCCCTCTGAAGCGCTTTCCCTGCACTAATTCTCAATCAAGGAGATCTTTCAAAATCCAACCATCAGCCATTCTCACAACATGCCCCAGCCAGCGTAGACATCGCTGTTTCAATAGTGTATACATGCTAGAAATTCCAGCATGTTCCAAGACTGCGCTATTTGTAACTTTGTCCTGCCAGGTGATGCCAAGAATTCGTCAGAGACAGCGCATATGGAACATATAAGACAAAGCAAAACAATTCTTTATATAATATACTTCTAAACTATTTTGCTTTATCAGGGGGTATTGATTGCCATTAATTGGATGGCTGCATGGGTGAGTTATATTAAGTCAGGACTATCATCAATGGCTACCAATTGTGATAGGTGTATGAAGCATATCTCTAAGTAATAGTCCTCGGGGATTTACAGAAGGAAACAGCTTCTGCCTTCATGTTCTGCTTTATGATTTCTGAGAAACAATTTGGTTAGCTACCTTTGAGAAGCAAGACATTGGACTAGATGCTTGGCGTTTCTTACGTTCTTGTGAAAATGTGTGACAGGGGACAACTATTCCTTTGGGGACCAGAATTCCCCAAAGCCCCAAACATCAAGGCTTTCTAAACATTGCATGGAGCCCAACTGAACCTAGGCACTCTTATGCAGACATCCTACTCAATGGGTATAAGGCAGGGGTGGTATTCATTCATCTTCCCTACCAGTTTGCAAATGTGTGTGCACATGCACAAGGCCATCTTCTGCACATGCGCAAGGCCTTCTGTGCATGCAGAGAACCTCGAAAACATCAAAAAATGGGACATCATGATGTCCATGTGGGTGGTCGGGGCATCCCGCAGTCACCCCTACCGGTTTTCCAGATAGAACCGGCTGAATACCACCATTGGTATAAGAGGAGGGATCTCCAGTCTTGGTAACTTTACAACTTGGGAGACTTCAACTCCCAGAATTCCTCAGCCAGGACCCCTAGATTAGAGGATATTGGGCACATAAAACCCGGCTCCTGCACAATTTTGTTTGTGGAGGATGCATGAAAAGGCTTACTATACCCTTACTTTGAATCGATCCAGTTTTACCCATCCCATAATCAATGTGGAACAACTGTTTTTCTCCCTTAAAAAAGAGCTATCGTTGTCAGCTCCATACTAGTCCTCAATAAAAAGAAAGAAGTTTAAGAACTGAGGCTGAGAAAAATATTTAAAAAGCATCTTGCTTCCTGTTGCAAATGAACTTGCTTTTGAAATATTCATATGAAATCACCTTATGGCCCATGTTAGCTATAAAATGTGCAAAATGTACTTAGCTGAGATCTGTTGGAAAAATCTGCAATTTTTCCAACAGAAATTCATAATGGGCATGGATCATAGTTATATCTTTGATAGTAAAAGAAATGAATTAAACACACAGCCACTTGGTATGCAAGTTGGATATTTATTCCCTTTGTAGCACTGCAGTTCTTGTAAGCAGAGATTTACCTACATCTCGCCTGAGATTCAGGAACCTCAGCCGTCATAATAATGCAATAATAATTAATCTCTGGGCAAATTGCGATTATTTTCCCCTTCCCTCTTTTATGAAACAATGTGGCTCTCTTAAAACAAAGCAGGAAAAAGAAATTATTTACTATCACAAGTGCTGTCACTGCTATGAGAAGAATGAATAATCTGGGGCCCCTAGCATAATATGAGTTCTTCAGCCTCTTTGATTTTTCCCCCTGAATATTCTTGAACTGTATGCCAAAATTTGATGGCACAGATGACAAAAGCAGGGATGTAGTGTCTGTCGTTTTAAGGAAACTATGGGAAAATTAAAGGATAAGTGCTAAAAAGAACAGTGGGAAGAAATATCTATCTGGTTCAATTCCAAGCCAGGAGAAAGGCACTGGAAACAAAATGGAGGCTGGAGGCAGATTGAAAAGAAAGTCCATTTATTGGTGAAGCAGAACCACCAAGCACATGTGATTCTGGGCAGCTGACAAAATGGAGTTGAGAGTGGTGGGTTTTTATACCTTCTTTTGGGCTTTGTATTTGAGCTTCTTGTTCCTGTGCAAGAACATGCATTCTATTGGCTGTTGTCAGATTCCTAAGGGGTCATGTAGGGGTTATGTAGGGGTCATAGCTGGCTCTATAGCAAAGAGGACATACAAATCCTAGGTGTTTGTCTGAGCTAATTTGTCAATCTTTTCTTTGTTGCAATTCCTATTGTGGCTTAATGGCTTTCGTCCTGTTTTGGATCTTGAGTGAGGGCTCTTTCTAATCCTACCATTCTGCCTTTGTTTCAGAATATCCTGTCTTGAATGGATTGCCAAATCTGCATTTCTAAAAACTGCCTCCTCAGTTTCTGCTTGGGAGTAGGGAGACTGGGGCTGCTT